CACCATCCCTCTCTTTGCTTCCCTGATTTTCAAGCTCAGCTGACCATTTAATCTCAGTTCCTCAAATAGGAGCTCCTTGGATTCAATCTTCAAAGCTTTTTTCCAACGGCCTACCTCCACAAATTCTCCCATCTCAGTTCCTCACCCTCTCACCCTCTCTTTGCTTCACCCCCTCACCCTCTCACCATCTCAGACAATGGCAACAGATGAAAATGAAACTCAGTTCCTCACCCTCTCACCCTCTCACTTCTCTCAAGGGTTAGCAAAGTTGGTGATTATCACAATGAATGGATCATGGATGCCCACATTATTAGGTGACTGGAACAGGTCTGGTTTAGTTTCCTTTACCTCTTTTCATCACTAAACATAAGGCAACCCTTTTTGTCAAGTCAGGCTACAGGGCCAATCATTTATCACTACAAAGCAGAGAAGGTTTACTTGACTAAATAGCCCAGTCTTATAACATGTAACAAGGACACTCAATTTCTTTTATTTGAAAAAACTTTAACAGCTGACTACAATGAGAATCTGGCATATCTGTTTCTGAATGCCACCCTTATGACAAAATATTTCTTAAGTACCTTATAGAAAACATAATCTTTGTACTGCAGTTTTGTATTTATGAACCAAATATAAAATTTAATCATATTTTTTTGAGAGAATTTTAAAATAAAATCTAATCATATTATCTGTATGGAGCCGTTAATGCTGCATTAGTTATTGGTACATATAATCCAACTTTGAAGCTTTAAGCATCATATAACTACAAAGAAACTCTTTGAAGAAACAAAAGGTTTAAATTAATACTCAACTAAACTTAAAAGAATCAAGTAACAACTAAAAAGGCTAAAAAGGCCATATAATAAGGCAGCCAATAGGACTTTCTAGGCAATTTGTGTTTGTGATTATAATATTCTCAAAAACTTGGTTGACTTAAATGGTATTAAACAAAGATAAACAAAGCATTACCTCAACATTCTTCAATTCGAATTCTGGACTATGTGCTAAACACAAGTTACCAAAAGTTTCACAGGGTCCACTTGTTCCACGTAACCTTTTGAAAGAAAACTCTGGAATTAATTGAAAAGAATCTTCCAGATCTAACATTCCAAAATCCACAGATTTCATCTTAAGCTGCTTTAATCAAAAAATTGCATGCAGTTTTTAAAGTTCGAGGCTTACAGATCTCCATCCAAGCATAAAGCAAAGTTTCCACCCCCACCTAATGCCAATAAATCATCTGAACACAAGTAGAAATACCGATTTGCACCTACACCAACAAATTATTGACACCTCATTAATCCAACACAAATTAATAGAGCATTTGCTAACTTATTTATGACACAAAGAAAGTCGTTGCACAGGCTATAACTGGCCAACGGTTCTTTATGTAAGTTTTTTCTCTCTTTTTTTCTTTATGTCAGTCAACTCAGCCTACATCTGAACATGTGAAACATTTCAAGATTGCTTTGCACTCTGGGTAACAGCATGATGGGGATCATTCTACACCTTTGACAAATTCTAAAAGGAAGAARGCCAATCAACAATCTGATTTGGTCTCCAAACATATTGTTGTAATTTTAATCTATTGGCAGTGGGTCCAGTCAATACGAGTCAGTTGTCTACTTGTCTAGTCATTATTTAGTTGATTTTCAAGTTCTGTAGTCATAAGTTCAGTAGATGGGGAGTTATAGATATTTTTTTTGAAAAATGATGGAGAGTTATAGATATTATTCTCTTACTTTTGGGGTCCAATGGCATTTTTATAATTATTCCAGCCTATACTTAACTATAAATAGTTCTTATATCCTAGGAAAAATCTATGCTGCTGGAAATTTTTCCGGCATCTTAGTGAAACCCTTTATCTTATCATTGGAACAAATAAACAAACAAAAAGCATGAATATTGATGTCTCTAGCATGCATATTTTATGGGGTGATTCCTTTGACATGCTAGAGTGATTCCAGATCCCCATGGAGTGACCTCTTGGGTTTTCTCTTTTTTCTCTCTCTTCTTCAAGCCATTAACAACAACTGCAGACCGCAACAATCTAAGATCCTACTGGAATTAACATTTACTGGTAACTGAGAAATTTCAGAAATTCCAACTTTTTMTTTTGATTTTTCTCCACTCTCTCTAAAACCCTAGCTGCTTTCCTTGGAACTTGTATCTAGACCATTCAGATCCTCAATCAAATTAAACCACCCTCCATATAACTCCAATACAAATAATACCACAGTTTCAGCCTAAAATTGATCTAGAACTCAAGTTACTGAAGTTTTTCAATTTCTCTCCCTTGAGAAAGTTTGAAATTTCTAAGTTTTGGACCAAACCCTCAATTAAACCTAACTAGTTTGTCCTAAAGACCCTAAACCCTTTCTAAAACCCTGCACCCTCCATAATCCCCAACTAAATACATTCATTTTTTTGTTTCAAAAACCAGCAAACTACCCAACTGAATTTTCACTATAAATCTCACTTTAGAGCCTACAGTGTTTTAAAAGACATGGGAGGCATACACCTGGAGGAGTGCCTCCAGGCGAGGTGCCCCCAAAATTCCCTTAGGTGTATGCCAGAGGCATTGACACCTCTGAGGCATACGCCTCATACACTTTTTTCATGAGGCATGCTAGAGACATATGCCTCGTGCCTCACGCAGACCTCATAAAAAGACAGAAAAAAAAATAAAAAAGAAAAAAAAAGGACAGGAAAGGAAAAGGAAGGGAAGGGAAAGAAAAAGAAAAAGAAAGAAAGAGAAGAAAAGAAGAGAAAAAGAAAGAAAAGAAAAGGGAAGGGAAGAAAAGATAAGGGGAAAGGAAAATGAGATCCTCCTTCGTCTTCTTCCTCCTCCCCTTCCTCCTCCTCCTTCCTCCTCCCCTTAAGGAGGCGTACGCCCCTTACATTCTGAACTACGTCATGCCTCTAGGTCCTGGAACGCCTTGCATCACACCTCTGCGTTTTAAAACAATGAGAGCCACTTACTGCATTTAATCCTACATTACAGTAGCCACATTATGTTATTCCAAACTTCTAAGTTATAACAACCAACAGTAACATACAATATTTGAAAGATCTCCTTTTTTATGATATAAAAGAAAAGAAATGAGAGAAACAAAATCTTAACAATAAATGGGAAAAAAAGCAAGCTAATAAACCCCTGTACACTAGGGGTGATACAAGTTCCAAGTTCCAAGGAATTAATTTGATTGGTCTAGACCAGTAAATGTACTTTCCTTGGAACTGAAAAAGTACTGTATTGTATTTAAACTGTATGTGCTTCAAAAATTTAAATTAGAAACCCCTGTACACTAGGGGTGATCATGGGCCAGGCCGGGCTTTGCACCTGTGATCAGAGTTATAGCCTAGGCCCGGGCCTGGCCCAGGTTCTGGGCCTATAACTTACTTTTATGTATAAAATATTTAAATGTATATAACATTTTATATTATATTCCATATAATGCATACAGACCTTATTTTATACATATAATATAAAATATTATATAAAATACATATTATAGGTGTCATACTATAATATTTAAATAAAAAATATAAAACATAACATAAAGTAACATGTACACATATATGTATAAATAACTGATGGTGACTCAGTTGGTAGGATCTCTGACTCGTTGGAGTAGAGACCTGGGATCAAATCCCGCTGCCACCAGAGTTTTGGGGGGGGTAAAGGGACCCCCCCCCAGTTGTGTAGCCCCATGAAGCAAAAGGAAAAAAGATAAAATAAAAACATATATAAAATTATGTATTAGCCAGCCCAGGCCTGAATATGAAACCTAGGCCCAAGCCTAGAATTTCCGGGCCAGGCTGAAAATAATGTGTACACTAAAGTACCATACAATGAAAATATACAAATAAGCTTACATCAATACCTCTTATCAAACAGGTTTCGAACATCAAAAAACTAATTATAATCTGAAGCTCTTGAATCTCTTATGTACCAACATCCATGAACACACCATACCCTTGATCCTTTCCACTAACATCTCCCAAACTACTTTTATCTTTGAAAATCCAAGCATTTCTTTCCCCCCCCATAAAATCCCAAAAAATAAATAAATAAATAAATGCTAGTGGTGTCAACTCATAATTCATACCACTTTGCCTCTTTTTCTTAAACCCCACAGACACCACCCACCCAAAAAGTCGTCAACAGATCTTGTAATAAATGTCCTTAAAAAGAATTCAACAGCCATAAATATCAGACAACCCCCCCCCCCCAAAGAAAAAGTTATCCATTTAACTCACACTTATAGTGACTTACTGAGACACAACCCCTTCCCCCTATTCAATATTCAAATTTCCAAAATTTTGTGGAAGTAACCAAAATTCCATCAACAAATGGTTGTTGTTAATGAGAGTTTCTGATTTTTAATTATTTCCTCTACCCCCTGACCCTATTTTTCTTTCTCTTTATTTTATTTTTGTTTGAGTCTCCCTTCCAAAGTAACTCATCAGGGATCAAGGAATGTTTTGCAAAATGGACCCCTAAAAGAAGGAAAAGGGCTTGGAAGGAGCACGACTAAGTTTAAAACCTAATTTTTCAAAATAATTTTTCCCTTCATGGCTCATGCTTTCAAAAACTACGGAAGATTATTTAGTTCCTTTAAGGACATTAACATTTTTGTTGTTCAAGGGAAATTATACTAAGATCCCCCAAAGAAATATGAAAAATATCAATATCCAAGGGTAAAATTCTGCCTAAAATTTTTATTGATTTTCACAAAAAAAAAATACATTGGTTTCCAAAGTTTCGAGCTGTTGTCATGATTTCTGTGATTCTATCATATGTTACATCATGGCATTTATTGCATTTCATAGATCTCTCATTTTTCGTTGTCCTATTTTCTTTCCTTTTGGTGAACCGATGCACCTTAGGTCCCCTTAATGATTTCAATTATCCATGAATTCCAACTAGGAACCAAGCTAATAAACCCCATCACTCTGATTTTTGTTCTACTATATTTCACACTTCTCTTTGAATTTATGCCCACATTTAGGCATTTTGCCTACTTTTGGAAAGTTTCAATCTTATGAATTTCATGATTTGTCATTGTTAAATCTAGTTCCATTTACTTGGACAAGGGATCCTTGCCCAGTCATGATTTGTCATTTACTAGGTCCCCTTAATGATTTCAATTATCCATGAATTCCAACTAGGAACCAAGCTAATAAACCCCATCACTCTGATTTTTGTTCTACTATATTTCACACTTCTCTTTGAATTTATGCCCACATTTAGGCATTTTGCCTACTTTTGGGAAGTTTCAATCTTATGAATTTCATGATTTGTCATTGTTAAATCTAGTTCCATTTACTTGGACAAGGGATCCTTGCCCAGTCATGTCCTTACAGTATCAGGGTAATATAGTCACCAAGTAAATACTAAATACATCACAACCTACTTCAAAAAGGATGTTTCTAGTCTTAACAATGTAAGTGGCTAACCAAGCTGAGTTTCTCAACAGAAGACGTTTTTATATTGTGAGATAATTTTGATAAATTAGTTCCATAATGTACTCAAAAAGTAAACAGATGTGTATGCTGAAAGTGTCCTTTTCTCAAGCAAGCAAATAAACATAATTTTAATTGTTTGCTAACTTCCTTATGACAGACCAACTTGATAAAGAAAATGTTGATGAAATGCTTACCAGTTGCCCTAAAAAGCCTTGGTTGCCCATATATAGTAGTAAATACAAATGTTTGGTTTGTTCCCTACAAAAAAGGAAGTTCAGATGCTGCACATGAAAATATAATTCGCCCACTTGAAAAAGAGAAAATTAATATGACCTGATATTTTTTTGTTGTAGTTGGTTTCAAGGGGCACTCTAGGAGTCCACCAAAAACAGCACCTTGCATATCTCCAACAATCTAGACAGAAGAAAACATTACTCAACATCCATCAATTCCAACAAAGCAAGAAACCAGATGAGACTTGAGAGAGCCCAATGTATTATGGTATACCTCTATTGTAAATTTAGAATAAATATGAACYTACCAGCAGACAAGGACCAGGAAGATCAGCACTTTTACGGATAAGTGTGCGAAGTGATAATCCGTGTTTTGTCATACTGCCCTTCATTTGAAAGAAATACAGAATTAAGAATCAAAGAAGGAAAATATAGGTCCTATATACTTAAAATCAATTTATCTTTTTATCACACTTACCTATACAGCAAAGCCCATTGGCATCCCTTAACTATATTAGGAAGAGAAGCCTCAAAAAACTCAAAAAGTTCAGCAGATATAAATGAAGACTTGTCCATAAGTTTGGGAACAGGATTCACTGGAACATGTGCGCTAGTTGCTTCTTCATTTTTATGGAAACCAATAATGTCCCGTCCTGAGGCATGGTTTTCATCTTCTTCACACACTTTAGGGATTTCCTTGCTCTCGGATACAAATTTAGACTCTCCTTGGCAATCCAGAGGTGCATCCATAAGATTGGGAACAGGAATCACTGGAACATGTACGCTAGTTGCTTGTTCATTTTTATGGAAACCATTAACGTCCCCTCCTGAGGCATAATCTTCGTCTTCTTCACACACTATAGGCATTCCCTTTCTCTCGGATACACCGATAAACTCTTCTTGGCAATCCAGAGGTGCATCATTCCAGGAAAAACTCGGCATTTTCCATCTACTTGGAAGTGATCGTACTGGTTTAATCTCTTTCAGACGCAGGTTGGATTTGGTGGCATCGAAGCTTGCCGAGGGAAGAAGCGACTTAAAGAATGAAGATATATACGTAGGTGAATCAGAAGCATCCTCTGTATGAAATGGCTTGACCTACACAATCAGAAACTCCACGTTACAATGAACTTACAGAAAAGAACATTTATGACAAGTCTCAAACAGAGATCACAAAAGGGTAGACGATTACGGGTGACCAAGGACCAAAGAAAGGCAATGAACAGAGGTGGTAACATAATGACACCTAACCACTGAGCAAGGCGTTCTACAGAAGATTTATCTTATCAGCTAGAAAAAGCAAATAGGTTAACAAGTCCAACAATGGATAGAAATGCATCATCTTCATCTAGGGGTATTGAAGATCGCGGAAAACAACTCATAGTTTCCCAGAATTTGAAAATACTGCCCATAAGCAATAACCAACAATTCATTTTCATACAAATCGTTTAAAAAAACACAAGAATCTATTAATAACGAGAAAATGATCTGCATTGCTACAAAAAAATTACAAAGAAATGACAGGACAAGAAAAAAAAAAAAAGGAAACAGAGATCCGAAAAGGTAGATCAGACCAGAAAGCACGTAAATGTTCAAACTTGTGCTTAATAATCAATAAGAGAAAGAAGTTCAACCGAACAAAGATCGAGCACCGATAGAAGAGCAAATGCATCCGGATCGAATCGAGAATGTGAGAAGTAGCATTGCAGATTCAATGTCATCTAGTTACCTGAGGTTCGGGTTGAACAACGGGAGACCCCCTAGGGGAATTGGAGGGAGAAGGGGAGTCAGAAAGAAGACGAGAGAGCTTGTCCGCAACCTTTTCTTTCCATGACATGGCGAAACTCTCACAGAGAGCAAACCCTAGCTCTTCCAGAGAATCTCTTTAGAGTGGTAATTATTAATTCCTTTATTGTAATTTTTTATTTAATTAAGTTTAATTTGGTAAATCTTTTCTGTCAGGGGAAAAAGAGGAGCGGCGGAGCGTCGGTGGAGGAGATGAACGACGAGACGAATCGCAACGAACAAACAACGCAAAAAGGCGAGCCAAGAAGAAAGGTATGTGTTTGGTTCCTGGTTTTTCTTTTCCTCTTTTTCTCGTAAAATGTAAAAACATAAAGAGGAAAGGAGTTTCCTTTATTGCACTCTACTTTCCTGTTTCTTGTCTGAGTCCGTCTATGCTTTTAACCATCTTCTTATCTGACACGTGGCAAGTATGTGTTGGAAAAAAATCTTTTTTCAAGAAATCATAACCCGATTGGATAGGGCTAAAATAGGATCGGATACAGGTATATCCAAAGTTAGATTCATTTATATTCGAGCGGGGACCGTGAGATGCAAGGATGTTGTTAAGCCAAAGCTAAATAATGAAAATAGAGACAATTGTTTTATATTTCGAATTTTTAAATAATTAATAATTACTTATTGTTTTTAATAATTCTATTATAATATAAAAATAACAATAATTAATTTCAGTTAGGTTTGTTTATTAAATTTATGAAATTGACCAATCCAACCTAACTTGACCCAAGTTGGTTAGTTTTTATTCAATAACTTTTTAACTCGACCATGTCAGGTTAGTTTTGCTTTGGCTATTTATAAACCAACTAAAATTGAATCACTAAATATATATATATATATATATAAGTGGAAAATTTCTCATATTTCATAGTCTAGAATATTTTATCTTGTAAATTTAATTTTTTTAATTTTCTTTTAGATAATATCAATTGTATTTTTTTTGTTTAAATTTAAATTTTAAGTTTAAATATTTTGAACCAACCCAAACCGATACGAGTGTTTTCAACCCACCGTTGACTCAATTGGTTGGACCTTTCAAACCGTCACCCGACCTTCATTCTAGGTTTGGTTCTATTAAAACCCTTCCTTTAATCAAAAATCGTTTGACCCAAATGCTTCAACCGTTGACCCGTTCGACCTAGTCACCAAGTTATGGTTACACACTTAATGCATATACAAACTTTCAGAGGACATAACTTTGCACTACAATGTCCAATTAGGTGATCTTTTTTTTTTATTTTAGGTAACCTTTCAAGGCCTATGTGTTCCAAGGTGATATGGACAACCTGCGTCACTATTTTCACGAAAAAAACCCTTTTTTGGTCTTGAATCGCAATTTTTTAATATTTTTTACAAATAAAAAATTAATAATTGAATTAAAAAATATAAGTTAAATATAAAATAATACATATATTATATGTAAAAAAATTATATACTATTTATTGATAAAATATGTATTTGTACACACATAGAATGGTCTAACCCGTTCAACCTAGATAGTAACCCATGACCTAGAGGCAAAAGCGGTCAACCATATATAATATGTCTTAATTAGAAGTAGGGAAGTAGAGATGAGTTAAGAGTAACAAAGAACTTAGTTATTAGCAATAGTTTAGAAATGAGGAAAGGTTTTAAGAATTAGGAGAGACGTTTATTAAGTAATTTTGAAAAGTTAAGTATAAAAGGAGGAGAGAGAATAAGAGTGGGAAAATGAGAGTTTAAGAGCAATACATTAGGAATTCTGAGAGGTTTAGGGAGAGGAGCCGTAGACAACCATGAGAACCTCATTACGAAAATTCTAATGAATGTTTTTAAGGGTAAATTGCCGAAACCTCTCTCGAAGTTTTTCACTATTATTGAAGTCTCCCCTAAACTTTGGTAATTACATTCACCTCCCTTACATTTTCTAATATAGTTGCAAGTAGACCCCTTCTAGTAGAATCTATACTACCTATAAAAGAGCGAATGCCCCTTTCTTTCTGGATTTTTCATTGGACGTTTTATATCCCCTTTGTCTAAACATACAATGGGGCATAAAGAGGGCATATATGTCCTTTACTCTCATTTTAGAAACTACTCACTTATAATTGTTCAGAAACTATAAACTATCCATAAATTATGAATAGTTTTATCTTAGAGATACTGCCACGTGTAAATGCACGTGCATGTCACTTAGTCTTCTAAAAGGAGGCACAAAATGTCCAAAACACCCATGGAATTAATATTAAGGTTGGTTTATACAAACATTATAAAAAATTAAAAAAAAGCGTAATTGTCCAAAACCCGACCACCATCACTTTTTATGAACTCTCTTAAACTCACCATTATTTTTCAAAATGTCCAAAACTCACCATGTCAGTGAGACAACGATAACTTGAATAACGGGCATCGTTAATTTACTATTTTACCCTTCATTATCTCCTGCTTTGCTTTCTTCCTCTTTGATGGCTTCTCCCTTCGCTCTGCCGCCTTCCACCCTATCTTATCTCCTCCCATCCATCATCTCTCTCCTTGTCTGCATTGAAAGGGTACCTGGAGGAGGTGGGCCACCTCACCAAGCTGAACTTGTAGGACACATGGCTTCCCATTACCGAATCTCGCAATGGAAATGCTCATTATGCTGCTTTCCACAACCTTAACAGCAGTGTCGAGTTTTAGGCACTCGTCTTGCTCGTTGCCTTCGTCTTCCTCAGCTGGTACATGATACATCACCTCCTCTCCCTGTGTAATTTGATGACTTATTATTTCTCTCTATCTATCCAGAATATAGCTTTCTCTAGTTTTGCATTGAGAGTGTATGGTAATATTTGCTTGTGGCATTTGATCGTTCTCCCTTCGCTCTGCCACCTTCTGCCCTATTCTTATCTCCTCCCATCTATCGTCTCTCTCCTTGTCTAGTTTTGCATTGAGAGTGTACGGAAATATTTGCTTGTGGCATTTGATTTTTCTCCCTTCACTTTGCCGCCTTCTGCCCTATTCATATCTCCTCCCATCTATCGTCTCTCTCCTTGTCTGCTAGCAATTCAATTCAAAATTCAACCCTGGGATGGCCTTCCTTTAGAATAGAGGATCGAGTCTTATTCCCATACCATAAGACTATGGATCCAAGCCTCGTCGCTTCAGGAGTGGATTGATTATCATGCCTGGCTTGGTGTGGAGCGTTGGTTCATAGATGACAACATTAAGTAAGTAATTGACGAGCTAGACCTTCCCTACTGTATTGGCTTGTTTCCGCTTCTCTTCTCTTTTCAGTTTTCATCTCCCTGTCCCTGTCTCTGTTTAACTTTTTCTTTCTCTTGGCAGGACCATCTTCCAACTATTTTTTATATGTTCAATGCAAATGTTGTGGTTGATGGCCAGACCATGGATCGGGTACCATCTATAAGAAGAATCATCAAATTCCTTTTGTGAATCTGTAGATTGGGATTCTTCAGCATTTTCAATATTTGAGCAGCTTTCAGAGGTGAACTCATCTTCGAGTTGTTTACCTTCACTCTGTTCCATCCCTCTTTATTTTTAGGTAAACCATTCAGGGGCAGTCTAGTCATTAAACATGCATTTAGGTTGACGTGGATAACTTGGGTCATTAAGCTTTAATGGTATTCTAACGGATGGTGAGTTTTAGAAAATAAAACCTCACTAACATGGTGAGTTTTAGACGTTTTGAAAAGTTATGGTGAGTTTAAGAGAATTCATAAAAAGTGATGATGGGTTTTAGACAATCGCCCCCCCCCCCAAAAAAAAAAAATAGAGAATTTAAAGTTGCAACTTTACATTTGAACAATTGATACGAAGGACAAATTTGGAAAATAAATCAAATTAAAAAAAAGGGATTGGAAGGGTTTAAGCTAGCGATTCATATGAAAAGAAAATTGTAAAATAAATATTTTGGTAAAAATAACTACATAGGTGTTTTCGACATTTTCATGCCTCTTTTTAGAAGATTCTTACAAAGGGGCCCTACTTGCAACTATGTCAAAAACTTCAGGCCAGGGAGGTTATTGCAATCACCAAACTTCAGCAAAGGTTTTAGCAACAACCAACAACTTTAGGGGAGGTTTTAGCAATTTACCCTTTTTTAATAATTAAAAAACAAATGTCAAATAGATGAGAGAAAAAGAAGAAATAAATGGGGGAGAGATTGTAAGGATGTGGAGAGCAAGGGTCAGAGAGATCACAGATATCATATAATAAAAGAGAGAGAGAGAGAGACGTGGGCGATATTTTAGGATGACTTTTAGGCAAAGAAAGAATAAAATTAGGAAAGAATATAAGGCCTCATTTGGCATCACTCCTTAGGAATGATTATGGCTATTCTCACATTTATATGGAATGGAATTGTGTTTGGATGTGTCCGAGTTCGAGAATCACTCCAATTCTAGATGAAAAATCTCAGACAAAAGGCCAATTCTCGAAACTGAAAATTTTTCACTTCTAAGAATCGTGATTCTCAATTATTGAATTTCTTGCTATGTAACTTTAAATTTATGAACACGTGTGACTCGGTCACACGTGAAAATAGGGGTAAAAGTATAATTGACTATTTATCATAATCTCCTTTGGTGAAAAGTTGGTAACCCCCTTTCTTCTTCCTCTTTTCTTCTTACAGCATCATTACAATTCAAAGCATTCGCTTCAAACAAGCGTAGATTGTCATATTTCTAATGTGAGGGAGTTGGAAGAATTTATCGGTACTTGAAAAGGGGCCGATATTCACATCATGTTGGAACTAGTGCCCTTGTTTATTTGGTCATTGTCCATGAATATCTCTGTTCTCTGTATCTATGTCTTATTCTTTTTTATCCATTTTGCTTTCTTTTGTCACTACTATTTCCTTGCCAAAATTTTAACTTTTGATTCCATTTGGATGTTGTCCATGAATATTGATGATGCGCGATCTAGTAGCTCCCCTACTGATGATGACTCAGAAGCTGATTTGGATGGTTCCCTTGTCTGGGTCGAGCAGGAGATGCTCGAGCTATTTTATTCTGCAAGAAAGACAGAATTAGAGTGCCCAGGTGTCTTTACCCGAGGAGGGCACTCTGACGCTTAAGTCAGAGAGTGTTTTGAAAGTATTTAAGAAAGTGAGAGAGCTTGAGAGCTTGTAATCGCGCATACCTTCTCTCAGGAAAATGGTGCCTTTATATAGGCCTCAGTGCTAAGGGTCTCCTTAGAAACGAGCCTGAGCTCTTTGAGAGTCATTTCCTTCTTTTCTAGCGTGTTAATGTGTCAGTTGCGAGATCTTTGCGGGGGTTACGATCTATCTAAGTAAAG